GAGAAGCTCCTGGCTCCTGGCTTCAGAATGGCTCAGCTCTGGCTGTTGTGATCACCTGGGAAGTGAATCAACAGAAATGATTTTCCTCTCTGTCTCTCCTCCCCTCTGTATATCTGACTTTGCAATAAAAATAAATAAATCTTAAAAAGGGGGGGTGGGCTGGCATTGTGGTGTAGCAGGCAAAACTCATCCTGCAGCACTGGCATCAGGTTGGCACTGGTTGGTGCCCAGCTGCTCCACTTCCACTCCAGCTCCCTGCTGATGGTCAGGAGAAGCAATGGAGGACGACCCAAGTGCTGGAGCCCTGCCCTGCACATGGGAGCCCAGTGACACTCCTGGCTTGGGCCCGGCCCAGCCCAGCCATGGCCATTGTGGCCACACTGGGAGTGAACAAGTAGATAACGGCTCTTTTCTCTCCACGCTCCCCTCTGTAACTCCAACTTCCAATAAACAAAGAACTCCTTAAATATATATATATTATATACAAATATATATATATATAAAACCACAAAACTACCAGTCTAGCAGCAACTGACAGCAAAAGTGATTCTGCCTGCTCCCAGCCACCACTAGAACTCTGTTCTTTCGCTTTACTGAGTGGCAGACAGAGCCAGTGGGCTCTCATCTGCTGACCCGCTCCCCAAATGCTGTGCCAGCCAGGGCTGGACCAGCAGCTGAGAACTGGTCCGGGCCTCCCGCCCGCCTGGGGCACAGGTGGGCAACGCAGCCCAAGGCAGCCACTGTAACACATTCTGCAAGAGCTTCTGGCTCCGTCTGGACCACAGTCCGGCCCTGCCTTCTTCTTCTCTCTCCCTCAGCCCTTGACTTTTACATAGTAAAGACAGGGTAATAAGCCTCCAAATTTCTTGCAAACAGCGTTAATAAATCTTTTAAAAGAAGAAGAAAGTTCTTCAGGTTATCCAGACACGCGTCCTGCTGGTGAGACCCTACGCCCAGGGGAGGGCCCCAGGAGGGTGCCTGGTGCGGGAGGGGTCCGGAGGGACTAGAGCAGTGAGCCAGGCCCAAGGCAGCATGTAAGCACTCAGCTGAGCTCCGACCGTGACCCCCAGTGTTCTGGGGGCTTCGACCCTGATGGCACGCTCCAAAACTGACAGGGTAAATAGCTGTCACCTGCAAACCTCCCAGCTAGGGGTGTCTGCCACAGCAGCAGGGACCTGACAGCTCCCTGCTGCCTACCGGGACGCACAGGACACTCACTGGCGCGTGTGGTTTTGCTCAGCTTTCATGACAAAGGAAGCTCTGACATCTATCACCACTGCATGATGGAGACGGAGGTGCTGGGGCAGGAGATATTTCCACGGGGTCTAGGGCTGCACCAGCCCCATATGCAGTGTTAAATCCCACTGTGCACACAGGGACAGTGGGATCTGTTGGGAGCTGATAACCAGGGGGCCCTCCTGGCTGCCCAGGCTCAGGAATGATCACACGGGCTGGTATGTGTCTCCTGGAAGCCCAGGGACCCTGCTCTGTCAGTGATGGGTGAATACGGCACACTGAGCACCCCCAGACAACCCTGCTCTGTCAGTGACGGAGGAACGTGGTACACCGAGAACTCCCAGAGGCAACTGTCAGTTTATTCCTTCCTACACTCAGCCTAAGCCAGTTCCCACCATTCTGTCACTCTAGGCTACAGTGCAGAAAAATGAGAAGGAAATTTGTCATGGACAGAATCCCTGGCAGGGGTGTGGGCTTGGACACGTGTCCTTTCTGGCCCTTCCTCCCCGACCTTCTCTTTGTTCTGAAGCCAGCACGGCACGTGCACTCAGCCTGCACACATCTCTGCGCTATGGAAGGCCACTCTGCCATGGTGCTTGAGGGGGCAGAGGTTCCACAGGCACAGTGCAGCACCACAGCACAGGGCGGGCATCAGAGGAATGCCAGCACACCAACCACCACACTGCTCCACGCAGCCCGCCTGCCCGCCATCCCCACCACGGTGCGGCGAGTGGGACGGACTGCAGCTGCCTGTCATTAATCCTCCCCATCCCATCCCTGCAAAGCTCTTAAATGCTGATTTTTGCTCCTTCTCCGGAGGAGAAACAAGGCCATCTGGGAGATTACTTTTGATCTGCCATAAGGAAAGCACAGCCCAACAAGAAAACAGCGGAGCTGCCTGCCATTCCTGGGACCTGGCTTCCGGATCTGTCACCGGCAGGCAGCGCTCACCTGCACTGAGGTACTGCACTCCAGAGCAGCAGGAGAACCAGAAAACCACCCTGTTGTGGCTAACCAGCCACCGACCAACAGTGAGGAGGAGCATGGCTGCCTCCTGTGTGCCCACGCCCAGAAGGCATTCTCAGACAGGGCACCTGCACAGGCCCAGGGATAGGGCAGGCGAGTGGGTGTGAGGGCAGGAAGCAACAGCACGTGGCAGCTCTGCACTGCGCTGCACACTCGGCGCATTGAAAGCCGCTTTCAGCTGTCAGCTCATCACTGACTCCAGAAATCCAACTCTTCACAGAACAGTAATCACATGCGATGTGAACAGGAAGTGTTTAAAGACAACTTCCTTTTCCCTCCTGGAAAGGGCTATCAATTACAATGTGGGATTAACCTGTGAGTTCCTTTCATGGTAACAAGATAGAATTTAATTCATCCTACTTGTTTATCCTTCTCACCTTGCTCCAGGAGGAACTTCAGGCAGCTGAGGGTGTGCGAGACACTGACAACAGCACACCCATCACCCCAGATGGACACAGCCATTCCAGGCAGCTGCACGTCTGCTGAACTGACTTCTTCTCATGGAGATAGTCAGTACGTGTGATGGCTGGGGCCTCTTGGGCCAGAACACGGGCTCCACAACTGTCTTAGGGACGCACCTCCTCCCATCTGGGGCAGGAGCCAGGGCCAGAGCAGATGACCCGCTGCAATGCCAAGGGGAGGGTGGGAGGAGAGGTTGTCATTTAGTTGATTCATTATAGAGTTCTCTGGCATTGAATAAGTGCCAGAGACAGTCCTCTGCATCGAGTAAGTCTGGAGCTAGGGAGCGGGGTCAGAGGCCCCCTGTGATAGCTTCCACACTGCCCAGTAGGAAAGGGGCCCTTGCAGAACCACCTGCCCAGGACAGAACCTGCAAACCCCAAGTCAGACCCAGAACTACTGCTGTAAAGCCCATTACTTTCTCCAGTTACACACTGACCCCTGAAGCTAATCAAGTGTGTTGGAAAAGCAGCTCTACTAACTTCAAATTGAGAAATTACCTGATAAAGCATGATTTGCCATATTTCTCAGATCTTTTCAAAACACTCTCACACCCTGAGCACACCGTCCAGCCATCAAGGAGGCAAGCGTGGCAGCTCTGGGCTCTGGGGTCGGACGGCAGCAGTGCTGGCTCTGGGATGTGCTCCTCACCGCCCTGCCTCACCCCCGGCCTAGACTGCCCCATGAGAAGAATATGGCCCACTGCCATGTCCAGTGCTGGGAATCAGCCCGTTCCCTCACCCCCCAGAGCCCCATCCATGTTCCCTCAACCCCCAGAGCCCGTGTTCCCTCACCCCCCAGAGCCCGTGTTCCCTCACCCCCCAGAGCCCCATCCATGTTCCCTCAACCCCCAGAGGCCCATGTTCCCTCACCCCCCAGAGCCCATGTTCCCTCGCCCCCACAGAGCCCCATCCATGTTCCCTCGCCCCCACAGAGCCCCACATGCGCCCAGGCCGGGTGCTGTCCTTGGTGCTGAGGACCGTCTGGTCAGGAGTCACAGCATGACAACTGCTATGACACATCCGGGTAAGCTAAAAGACTCAGGCGGGGTGACCCTGAACCAAGACCCCACATCACGAGAGTGCTGCCTGTCACATGCAAGACCCCTGGGAACTGCCCTGCACCAAGCCTTGCCCTGCCTGTGTCCCCGCTGAGTACCCTCTGCCCAGAGGTCCTGCCGTAACGCTAACCACAGCTGGACGCTCCTCTCTGACTCGGACACGGAGGAATCACTGGAGCACTGAGCAGCTCTTACTGACCCCGCCCGCCTATGAACGGGTGAGGACAGTGAGACTCCAAGCACCAGGCAGCCAGGCAGGGACAGACTTGCTCAGTGCTCAAGCTGACCACCAACTGCAACGCCTTTCATCATCTCTGCCATAATGGGAAGCAGATGGCTGAATCTTCCTGCATTCTGTGTCCACAAGAACTTGTCAAGTTGCCCTCGCATGCATGAGTGCACATACGGCGTGATGGGCATTCCAAGCTAGCACTCGGTCCAAGCAGAGTAGAGCCCACAGTGACCTGAGCATGGCTGGACTGCAGGGCACACCTCTGTGAGAAGACAGGTACTGACCTGTGGTGACACAGCAATGACAAGACAAATCCTCTTCAGAGGGACACACAGGAGGCTGAAGCCAGCACTGTCCTCCCCACACCTGTCACTGACTAGGTTCGGTCCCAAAGGCCACCTCTTTTGTGCATTCGTCTGCTTCCTTGGGGCCACAGCACAGGGACCTTGGTGGTCACAGTGTGCGGCGCCTGCCCCACTTGGTAGCTGTTTACACTTGGTGGTGCCATGAGGTCACGTCCCTGACCTATCACTTGATACCCCTTGGAGCGTGGCAGGGTGTGCTGCAGGTGCTGGACGAAATGGATTCAGCGGTGAGGGCTGGCCGGCCGCTCGGTGCCTCTTCCTCACAGACACCAGCACAGGCAAGCGAAGCATCACTACGTAACATACCCTAACTGGGCGCCTGCAGGTCCCCGCCACGCCACCGGCACAGTCGTGAACTCACGGGAAGAACCTGTGAGCGGCTGAGCAGGTGGGCACAGCACACCCCACCCACACAGGCAGGGACTGCCCAGAGAGGCCCCAGGAGTGAGGGAAGACACACGCACAGGACCTGTGGGAGTGACAGGTGTCGTGTGCAGCTGCACAATGAGGGTCTGTGGCATATCGTTCCCCAGCACTGGGCTGGGCGCAGGGTAGACCAGTCCCCTCCACTGCACACGCGCTGATGCAAACAACCCACACAGGTGCCTCCCAGGCCTCCTACCAGGCTGCGCTGCCACGGGCGCCGTCATCCAGGTGGCATAGCAACTCCAGGCTCTGTGCAGGGCTTGCAGAGTCGTCTGGGGACTCGTGGCCGGCTGACTCCAGCTCCTCGGGCATCCTCCACACGGCCGCACATGTCAGGACCTTGCTGTCAGAAGCTGAGCAGAGGGGAGGCCGTCAGATTGAGTGTAACTTCCCACAGCTCACCCCTGCTGCGTGCTGCGCTGGGAGCCCCGGCAGAGAAGCAGCCTGCAGTCGGCAGGCGGCCTGTGCTGGGCCGGAATTAGCACCCAGTTAACCCACTTTCTCCTTGTCTTAAAACCATCACTCTGCTCTAGAAGAAAATTGCATTGCCTCAAAATCAATTTCCTTCTGTTCTCTCACAGTTTTCAAGAAAGGAAGCAAAGTGGGGGACCGACGCACACAGCTGAGACTGGCGGTAGGGGGATTTTTCCCGTCTCTGCTTCGGGGCTGTCAGCAAGCACACAGCACCCCACCAGGAGCTGGGTCTCCCCGCCTCAGTTTACCCATGAGAGGGAGCCTGTGTGGCCCCAGGTTGGCTGTCCCCACTATCAGCCAGGGTCTGGCCCTGAGAGACAGTGAGTCAGTGGGTTCTGTTCCTAACATGGGAAACCAGAACTGAGGTGGCACCTCCATTTTGGCCTGGCTGAGCCCTGGCTGTCCAAGGAGTGAGGCAGCAGATAAGAATCTTTCCTCTTTTCTTCCACTGAAAAAATACCTATTTATTTTTTTTAAGATTTTTTTTTTTATTGGAAAGGCGGATATACAGAGAGGAGAGACAGAGAGGAAGATCTTCCGTCCGATGATTCACTCCCCAAATGAGCGCAACGGCCGATACTATGCCGGTCCGAAGCCAGGAGCCTCCTCTGGGTCTCCCATGTGGGTGCAGGGTCCCAAAGCCTTGGGCTGTCCTCGACTGCTTTCCCGGGTCACAGGCAGGGAGCTGGATGGGAAGCGGGGCCGTTGGGATTAGAACCAGCGCCCATATGATCCTGGGCGTGCAAGGTGAGGACCTTAACCACTGCGCCATGGCACCGGGCCCAAAGACCTATTTATTTGAAAGGAAGAGTTAGAGAGGGAGGGAGCAAGAGAGAGTCTCTGTCTGCCAATTCACTTCCCAAATGAATGCAATGGCTAGGGCTGCACCAGACAAAGCCAGGAGCCAGGAGCTTCATCTGGGTCTCCCACATACATGCAGAGGTCCAAGGACTTGGGTCACATTCCACTGCTTTTCCAGGCACATTAGCAGGGAACGGGTTGAGAAGTGGAGTAGGCAGAAATTGAAATGGGGCTCACATCTGTTGCTGGTGCCCAGCCTGCTACACCACAGCAGTGACCCTAAGGATTGCTTCTCTCTCTTTCTCTCTCTCTGTCTCTCTCTCTCTCTCCTCCCTCTCCCTCTCCCTCCCACTTTTCCCTGTCAGAGAAGTAAATAAAACATTTGAAAAGGTAGTATTCAGTAAATTATGGTAAAACAATGAGCAGATTCCAGTATAAAATCATCTATTCATCTCAAATGAATAACAGAACAATATTTTATGCAGGTAGCTCAGAAAGTTTAGAGATAGAATTAAAAGATAAATCTTGGGCCCGGCGCCATGGCGCAGTGGTTAAGGTCCTCACCTTGCACGCCCGGGATCCATATGGGTGCCGGTTCTAATCCCAGCGGCCCCGCTTCCCACCCAGCTCCCTGCCTGTGCCCCGGGAAAGCAGTCGAGGACGGCCCAAAGCTTTGGGACCCTGCACCCGTGTGGGAGACCCGGAAGAGGCTCCTGGCTTCGGACCGGCATAGCATCGTCCGATGACTCACTTGGGGAGTGAATCATGAGGGAAGATCTTCCTCTCTGTCTCTCCTCTCTTTATATCCTCCTTTCCAATAAAAATAATAAATAAATCTTTAAAAAAAATTTTAAAAAAAGATAAATCTGTTTTGGGCAAAACATTTTCAAAATTCACACATATGGGACTGGTCTTAAAAAAGGTCACGAAGAATGTGTACAATGAAAGAACTGTGGGTAGATTTCAAATCAAAAAGAGCTTGCCTTTTCATTCCATTTCTCACAAGATTCTGGAAGTATCCTAGACACAGGGAGGCTCACTGGCATTGATGACACAGGGACCAACAGCATAATAAAACAAGAAGGAACTCACACTGGAAGACGTGCACCTTCTTACTAGCTATGACAGTCCTTCAATCTACAGACCAACTAATGAGCCAAAATACAGCAGTAAACACAGGCACGGGCCATCCAGCTTCATGGGTATTCTGCTGTCATCATCATTACCACCACCAGGTAATGAGACGTACAAGGATCCTGGTCACCAAGTCAGTGCCCATTTCATACTTTGTGTGGCTTAAAGAAATGTTCATACCTTTAACAATGAACTCATCAAACATAACGGTTCCCCTCCACTTGAAGAATCATTCAATCACACAGTGTTTCTGCGTGGAGCCCAGGAGACTGGCAATGTTCTCCCAGACATACGAGAGCAGCTGGAAAGGAGAAATGAATGCCGGCAGTGTTCACCCCATCAGAGGCACAGAGTACAGCAATTCTGCTCTGCGAAGCGATGAGCCCGATTAACTAAGAACCAGCTGCAGCTGTGGTGCAGGACTCACCGTGTGCACCCAGTGCCCAAGGGAGCAAACCGGGAGAAGCACCCACAGCGGGGTCCCTCGGAGCGAAGCCCTCTCACACAGCCGAGAAGGGGCTGACCTAACTCAGGGACGACTTCCATGCTACCCTTCAGGAGGCTGCAAGGACTCCCATGACACAAGAAGGGAGCTTATCAACCCTCAGAACGCACGCCAAGCGGAGCCTCAGGGAGCAGCCTGGGAGTCGGCCCCCTCGCACACCCTTCTTCTGGCGTCACTTAAGCCGCCTGACAATCAGAGAAAGCAAGGGAAGAACTTCCAGGCAAATACAGCCAACAGAGTAAACCACCATCCGCCAACCTCCTGAGAGCAGAACCAGCAGGGTCTGGGGAGTCTGTTCGCCTTAGAGACAAAAACCCAGGAGAGGAGCAGAAAGCTACCGGCCAAGGGCTCCTACCTCGCCTGCCCAGGCTCTCGGGGCCTCCAGGGAAAACCCACCACGGGGCCTGAGAGGAGCGCCAGGCTCCCACCTTGGGCCTCAGCCAGTCCTGGCTGCAAAGTCAACCAGCGGGAGGGAGCTCTCTTTGCCTCTCTAATTTATTCACTTGAAAAACAAAAGACAACGACAAAAACTGCTTAAAATGCACACAAAACCATGTTTCCAGAAAAACTGAAACTTAACAACTGATACTAGTAGAAATGAAAATTCTAGCTAGATCAGTATCTCTTCAAAATTTTTTTCTAAACTAAAATTTCCAGCAGAGAAAATATAAAGCTCAGGCATTACTCCTATGCTAACTTCCAAACATGTAAAGGTAGATGACAACAAAGCCACACAGAACGTGGGGAACATGACCTCACAGCAGGAAGAGGGCTTTAACCAAAGGAAAAGGACAGAGCATCAATTACGAGAGGATGTGAGGCTTCTCAACAAAATATTAGTACATCAAATTCAGTATCGTACAAAGAATATTAATTTCACAAACCAATGACGTTTGCTCAAAGGCTATAAGTAATTTATCATTTGAAAAGCAGCCAATATAGTTCATCACATTAGCAAACTAAAAAAATGACCACATGAGATGTGTGAAGTTTGACACAGCTTAACGCCTCATTTCTGATAATATTCTTAGCAGGAGAAACAGCAGAAAATCCATGATCATAATGAATCTACCCTGAGCAAGCCCTCCAGCTCACAAGGCAGCTGCGGATGAGCTCTGCCAGCTCCCGTTTGGAGAGGAGAGAGGAGCGAGCTGGCACTGTCACAGGGCATTGCTCGGCAAACGGCCTTAACGCAGAGCAATGCAAACAAGCCAACTGGAATTCTACGGATGACCAATCAAATCTAAAAACCGAGATTTGAAAATAACGATATCCATGAAATAATTAACAATAAAACACCAGAAACATCTCAGGTTAAGATGTGAACCTGTGCACAGTAACCCCAAGTACAGTGCTGAAAGTCAGGCCCATGATACCGGAGACACGCACCAGACTCCTGGCCTGGAGGGGTCACTCCTGTGCACAGCCATGAACCTCAAAGGCCTTCACACTTCATTTTAGCAGAACTCAACAACCAGTTACCTAAGTCCTCAAATATGCATGGAACTGTGAATGGTCCAGAACACTGACATAAACATGAAAACAACAAAACTTGGGTTCCCGCTCACTGCTGGGATAAAGACTAGCAAACAACAGAAAAAAAGAGAATGGAGTCTAGAAGTGGACTATAAGACGATCACCCAACTTACAACAAAATGCCACTGCGCTGATGGACAAAGGCAGAGCTCATGAACACTGACCCACTGGACAACCACAAGAAAGTGATTCTGTGTCCAGACAGGCTTGACCTAAGATGGAAAGACAAAATACAACACATATTTTCCAGAATGCAACGAGTATTCTCACCATCTGGAGACATGCAAATATTTCTTAAATGGCAGAAAGAAAATGCTGATCACTAAAGACCAATAACATAGATTCTCTGGAAATTCAGAACTTCAGTTCACCAGAAGACACAATTAGAGTTCTTCAAAATCAAAGTTTCTTATAGAAAGACACTATTGAAAAATGAACCAAAACTGAGAGGAAATGCTCACAACATGTGTTCTGAAAATGGGATTACATCCAAATTATTCCAAGAGCTCTTAAAACTAAATTTTAAAAAATCCATTCCTTAAAAGTGATTGGCCAAGTTGTGGTGTAACAGGTAAAGCTCTCACCTGGGATGTCCACTCTGTAATGGCGCCAGCTCGAGGCCCAGCTGCTCCACTTCTCAGCCAGCTCCCTGCTAATCGCCTGGGACAGCAGCAGATGGCCCAAGCGCTCAGACCCCTGCCAACCGCATGGGCGGCCTGGACGAAGCTCCCAGATGCTGGCTTCAGCCTGGCCCAGTCCTACCCACTGCAGACACTCTAGGAGTGAACCAGTAGTCAAAAGATCACTCCCTCTCTGTCCCTCCCTCCCCTCCATAATCTCTTTCAAATAAATAAATCTTAAATTTTAAAAAATTAAGATCAAATCAGACACTTCATAAAAGAA